GGTGGCCCTACAGAATCTTGTGTATATCTTTACCACTATGGGTACTAAATCTTGATAAACACAGCTGTGAAGTTGAGGTGGGTAGGGGAGACAAGTCAGGTGAAGGTATTCTGTACATCGTTATTACATAAAGTTTGTAACTGTAGGGAATGATGTAACAAGGAATGTGACCGTTTATGAGAGGAGTAGAATAAGGGCAAAGTTTGAGAAAGGATTCACGTAGTCACATGGTTTTAGTCATAGGATATCTCAGATATAGTATATATGTTGTGAATGTATTTATCATCTAACTGAAAAGGCTTGGCTGTGTTTTATGATAGGCCAGTCCTGTTAGAATGTTATTTTTTAAGATCACAACTCCCAGAATTTTTCAACCAGCATGGCCAATGCCCACAGTACAGTAGCTGGGAAACTTTGGAAGTTGTAGTCCAAAATGTAACTTCCTCAAGTTCTGAACCCATACATGCTTAGTGCTTAAATAAGTTCCATTCTGCTCAAAGAGGTTTATTCCACAGTAAATATGTATAGGATTGAAATATCTGTGCAGAACAAGAATTAATGCTTTTTAGTGTCCACTGTCTGTTTTTGTGTTTCCTCCTCACTCCGAAAGCACTTTCTCAAATAAGAAAAATGTTGTTGATTGTGCATTTCCATTAAGGTCTTTCATGTACCATATTCTTTGTATCTCTTATTTCTTCATCGTAATGTTTCATCTTCTTTCATTTCTCATTTAGCTTATTGCCATGCAGACAAAACAAAATTACATTCAGTAATAACATCACCACAGGAGAAAAACTCAATAAAACACTGCTTTTGGTGGTATTTTATGGAGGGGAGTATTGGGAGTCTTCCAGCCCCTTTTGCATGCACTGGAACTCCTGATTATTCCCAACTGGTGCCACCTCCATCAAATGGTGATTTCCCTTTGTCAGAGGAAAGGCAGCCACTGCCACCACTGTTCAAAGGAGCAGTTTGCTAGTCGTCCAGTTCCTCACCTTTCAACTGAAGTTGCCTTTTGGCACAGTTCCTTTCATTGGTGAAATGCTAGGTGATTGATGCTTGCTGCTCTTTTAAACCAAGAAGACTTATATCTGTGACGTGAATGTGTTTCCTTCATGCCTGCATTCACCAAAAACCTGAACTGGGATTTAGGGTTTCCTGTCCCAAGAGCATGCATACTGCAGGTTCTTCATAGGGGAGCTAAAAATAATAACCAATTTTTCTCATGCCTCACTACTGGCCAGGCTAGCTGGGGCTGATGGGAACTGGAGTCTAACAAGATTTGTAGGGTGAGAAGTCCTACACCCTTGCAACACCTTCCTCATAAAGGTTCAATTGCTATCTTATACTCCAGACAAAGTGCCCAATAAATTAATTTGGGGCCACATTTTAAATCAGGATACACAAACATTTTCCTGTAAAAATAATAATCAGGGAGGCAGAAGTGGGAATCTGTGGCCCTCCATATTCCTCATCACACTTCCATTGCTATCCTATACTCCAGACAAAGTGCCCAGCTGAGGTTACATATTACAGTACTGATAAATGAAAGGGACATAGTCAATTTTTTTTCTCTTTTGGAAGGGGAATAAATTGTGCTAAATTATTGTTGATCGTAAGAGTAGTTCTGCTCCACTGCTGCAATATTACTGGAATGGCCAGGATGGCAGTGAAAGCGTGGCAGGAGGTCAGAGAAGTGATTTTTTTTGTTTTGTTTTGTGCAAAAGGACAATAAAACTGCTTTTTTTTTTAAAGACTGGAAAGTCAGCCAGTTTTTCAGGGCCAGCTCTACCACTATGTGAACAGGTAGCTGCCTCAGATAGCAGATTCTGTATGCCATAAAAGATTGACAAGGTGTTCGTTACTTAGTTGTTCCTTGTCCTGTTTCTAATGCCTGTAATGTAAATAAGTGCTTGTGGAATTTTCCGCCTCAGGTGCCCAAATAATTTGTAAGGCTATGGATACAAGGGCCCTCAAACTGAGGCAGCATGATTTCCCACTCCACCATAGGCAGCCTAATATCTTGGACTAGCTGTGGATGCGTAAGAAACACATCCATCCTTTTCTGAACCTAGTTACAATCATAGGCATACCTTATTTTTCTTCTTTGAAATGTTCTTTAAAACAATAAATTCATTTGGGGCCACATTTTAAATTTTAAATCAGGACACATAAAACATTTTCCTGTAATCCTTCTGGATAAAGATCTAATAGTGGATTTGTAGTGTCTATTTACGGACTCTGTTTATTCTGGTTTTCTTAAAATCCAGGCCTGGCAACTGGTGGCCCTCTACATGTTGTCAGATATTCCCACCACCCTTGTCTATATTCCAGATGGTGTTGGAATTGCAGTCCCACAACATCTGGAAGACCACAGGTTACCAACAAGTACTCTAGTACTTCCCTTTCTAGAGAAGATAACAAAACAAAACAAAAGGAAGAAAACAATACAGAAAGGAACAAAACAGGAACAAAGTAAAATACGAAAAAATGCATCTGGGGTAGAATTTGTCCTTCATTGAAACATAGCAGATTATGGAACAAAGTTCTCAATGTCTAGCGTGAAATTAAGTGAAGGAGAATAGCTTTTACTGAGCAAAAAGTTTCCTGTCCTCATATTTTATAGAAAACATTGGAAATGAACCACTTAAAATTAAAATATCAATCATATGTTCCAAAAAGAAAGAGATTACCGTATGTTGATCCACAGAAGTAAACCAGCTTTTAAACAGGCCTCTGAATAATAATAAATAACAGATTTTAATAAGTCAAAATTGAATTTTGAAATTTTAAAAGTAAAATTTGAAATAAAGCAACATCCAAAATCCACAGGATCAACTATAAATTCAAAAAAGCAAGAAATAAAATGTTTAAGTTCTTCAAGACTCCTGCATCAGTTCCTGTTTTTTACCACCACACCTGCAGAAGAGTTCCAGAGAATGTAAGGCCGGAATCCAATTGTGACTTTCAACTAGAGAAGATCCACTGAAAAGTGCTGGTGGCTCCATGTTCAGCAGTTGGTTTAATGGGACTAATTTATCTGATATTGTCAGCTGGATTGAAGCCAAAATATTGTAGCAACATATCCATCTCAAACATTTTGCTGGCAATGTGTCAGTTTATCAGTCTATTTCTTAATAACCTCCATATCTGCACATTTGTCTATGTATAACAAAAATAAACAACAAAAAGTATTAGAGCATCATAAGGAGCAGCAGATTTAAGTGTTTTTAGCTTTTTATTTTGTTCTCATTTTATTATATACCCTGAAATATAACACAGCTGTCTCTTTTGGTAAACCACTTCTTTACCCGGAAAATCTTTAAAAAGTGTTGCCATAAGTCAGAATTGACTGGAAAACCCTTGAAAAGGGTTGCCATAAGTCAGAATTGACTTGATGGCATGTGAATATTATTATTATCTCCTTGAAAATTGCTAGTACCTTGAATAGTTCTACTGTTAGATCCAAGAGAGTGTTGTGCAAATGTGATTTTTGAAAAATCGTGTTGGGTGTGGAACCATTGACAATAAGAAACTTCTTGGAGGTTTGGAGAAGGAAAAGAGAAAAATCCCTAAGACTAGAGTAATATGAGACAAGATCGGCAGAAAGGGAAGGGACAATTTAGTTTATCACAACCCCTCCCCCTAAATGACTGTAGACCTGGACTGAAATATTTGGAAGGGCAGAGGTTTAGGAATGGGATCAGAATTACTGGATCTTTCCTGCTTTCCCAACCGGCAGTTCTCCAGATGTGCTGGACTACAAATCCACTAATCCCCAGTCAACCCTAGTGTTTTGAGTGTGCGTCAAGCCCGCCCCGCCCCGCTTTTTATCTGTAGACGAGGGAAGATGCTGGGGCCGAAATCACGCCCTCTGACCTGAAGGCACGCTCCCTTTCTTACTCCGGATATGTTATGCAACCCAAGTCAGCATTCTGCACATGCTCAAGAAGCACTCTCTGTGTGTGTATGTGTGTGGCCCGGCACATTCCAGAGTCCTGACACTGAAAATAGGTTCCGGGCCTGATCGCTGGCCTCTCTTAGGAAAAGAGGCGGCGGCTGGCGAAGGACGAGAGCCGGGCGAGGAGGAGGAGGAGGGCGCCCCGAGGCGCTGCCGGTAGCCAGCCCGAGCGCTGCCCTTGGAGGTGGTCCCGCCTCCCGGGCCGGCGCTCTCCTCCCCTGCGGTCCCCTCTTCTCCTCCCACCTTGACGTCTGGAGCTGGCAGCCCGGCAGGTTCCGCATTCCCGACCCCTCCCCGCCAGCCCAGGGGCCGCGCTATATAACCGGGGCTGATGCAACCTCCCCAGCCGCCCGACGCAGCCGACCATAGGACCCCTTCTAATTCAGCACCTCTAAATTAAGCTATTACTGCAGTATAATCAAGACTGGGCATTTTCACATCCCTAGCCTGCACCAATGCATGGATAAAACCAGAATCCCAATTCCAGTGGTTAATATTGGAAGGAAGCTCCTGAATTTCTGAACACACACATGAATTTGGTACAACAACACACACACAGCATGTCAAAAGGTTTATACACATTCTAATCATATTGAATTAAACTAGCTATCTCCAACTTACACTTCACGGCCGGCTGGCTGAGTGGGTGTGTGTGTGGATGGCTCAATGGATGGATGGCCGGGCGGGCGGGAGGGCGGCCCGCTTTCGGAGGCGCCGCGCGCGTGGAGCGGCAGAAAGCCTCCTTCGGACGGTCCGCGCCGGGCCCTTTGCGCATTTCCCGCGGTCGAGATGGCTACCTCCCGAGCAACCTTTTTTCGACCACCGTCGCGCTGACATGCAGAGTGGCAGAAAAGAGTAGGATCTGCTGCCGCTGCCCTTTCAGTTTCTTGTTGTGGGTGAATTGGGAATTGTTGTAATATGATATTACCCCTTAGCACTGGTGATGGAGGAGAAAACCGTGGCGCTCAACTCGTTTAGGATTAATTTATGCAGAATATCAGTAGGCACACGAGGTGCCCGAATACCTTGGGAGGTTTGTGTCATGCCTACTGCTACTTTGGGGGCTTATCACGTGCCATTTTCTTCCTTTCCAGGCCCAGATCCTTGGGGCTGCAAAAGGACCTGGAGTTTCTTAACTAACCCATTGCATGCTGGTGAGATCCTCTCTAGTGAAAACTTACTACATCAGTAGGTAGATGAGGGTTGCAAGTTGCAAGAGAGCCAAAGGTGACCCTCTAATGGGTGTGAGCACTTCAGGTGACTTAGAGGGCTGGATTTCTTTGTTAAATGCAGGAAGTATTTTTTTAAAACTTCCCATCTCAATCCATTGCTTTCTTTTAAGACAATTTGCTCTTAATCCTTTCTCATCGCCATCCAAGTAAGTACCCTCTTCTTATTCTACACCACCACATCTGTTTTGCTTGCACCACTGTGGGTGAAGCTCTTCTCTTTGCCTGTGATAAGGCCTGCCTCCCTCTTCAGTCTCCCAAGTTTTGCTCTGTTGCTGTTTGTTTATTTAATTTATATGCCGCTCACTCTACCCAAACCTCTCTGGGTTCCCTCCACACCTCCCATAATGAGGGCTGTAGGAGCAGAACAGAGGTCTCCCTACTCCCACCAGCACCACCACAGCAATTCACATATGGGAGAGACAATCTGTTAAGGATGGACTGTACAGTTTGGCTTCCTACCTGCACAAGGCAGCAAAAACTGGACAGGCACTCCACACCGACTTGGATGGTCATTGGTGCGACTTTTGTTTGTTCCCACCAAGAAGGCTGCAGATGATAGACAGAGCTGGGAAAGTTACCTTTTGGATGAGAGCACCCCAAATTGGCTGTAGTTCTCTCCCCCCCAAATTTTTTTCCGAGCTCAAAAAAGGGATGTTTGGAACTTGCCAAGCAGCAGTGGCACATATATAGCAATCTGGCAACATCTTGCATAGGCCTGTTGTATACTATGTGACAGTGGTAGCCCAGTGCTTTTCTGCCCCAGCTTGTTTCCCACATGGTATTCTTGTTGATGTTCTTGTGGGTGCCTGTTCTTTTCCTCCCAGGAGTGCCCTTGCTGATAGTTCCTGGGTATATGGGTCCCCTTCATCCCTGTGTCAGGTGAAGCTGCAAGGAAAGTTTCTGCTTTGAGACAGAGGCTCTCTAGTTATGACAGCATTGTTGCGTGAGCCGAGTGTCATGGACATGCTGGTGTTACTTAAACTGGGCTCGGCCCTGCCTGGAGGAGCTAGAAAAGTGCTTTCAGAGGCTTGCAAGTTCCACAGCTTTAGTCATGTCTTGTTATTTTAGCCACACCTTTTCTAGCACGTTGAGGCGGACATGCAGTTTAACTTTTGCAGACTTGCACGAGGCATGGAGAGCATCTTTCTGGGGCAGCATATTTTCTGTGTTTTGTCTGTTTTGTTTGCCAACATCTTTTTGGCTGTTCTTTCCAACTGGATGCTGGACTTCCGGGCCCTTTTGACATTGTCCAAGAAACTGGTTCATGTGTTGCTTGGAAGATTATTAGCAAATTTGTCTTCTCTGAGCCAGTGAGTTTCTTTCCTCCCTACCTTAATGTTGTGTTTTCTTCCACATTGGGCATCATCCTGATGATTACAAGACAGCAGTGTGTGGCCCTATGCTCCTTATCTACAGAGGGACAGAGTGGAGAAAAACTGAGTCTTAAGCCCTGGAGTATAGTTTCCAGTTAAAGACATAGGGTCTAACAAGTGCCCATTTTGTTGAGTGCAACAATGGGGAGGGATTCTGTTTTTCTGTCGGTAACTTTTTTCCACTCCACTGGTTTGCATGGTGTGATGACACGAACAGATGATTGTGTGAGTTCAAAGCAGGCAGATCTCTGTCCCATGGGAGACCTTCCTGGGTTTGTGAAGAGATTGATCGAAATGTGCTGTTCTGTGAATGTTTCTCCTGCTTTCATCTCTCTTAAACCTGAGGGAAAGGGAAGGGTCCCCTTGAAACAGGATGGGTGATTAGAGGCAGTCCTAAGTCCACTGTTTCAGTTCAGCAGTCAGGCATGAAAGGGAGTTGAAAATCTGTGCTCTGTTCCAGAAGGCATTTCTTGCTTTTCTCCACTCCCTGCCCTTGGTAGTAGGGAAATGGGCTGAAGATCAAATTGAAGGGAAGGCAAAATACCAAATGAGAGAGAAGGGGAGAAAAGAGTAAGCAGGAGCCACATTATGTTTCCATTTTCCTTTTAATGAAGGCCCTGTGGAGGTGTGTTTGAAAACACAGGGTCTCCTATGCCCTCAAGGTGGGTGAGAACACTCTCTTGGCTGGTTCCAGGGCCATATGCAACATATAGTGGCCAATGAAATGGGGCCTGGCTCGCTTTGTTGCTTGTCTTGGCAGCTTGCTTCATAGCTTGTATTACCAGCCCTGGAACGCAACCACTGCCAAACTTTCTCTCTCTCTCTCTCTCTGTGTGTGTATTGGGAAGCTTAGCAGAGACAAATGCTTCACTGAGTCAGGCTAGGAATTTTTCAACTTGTTTCTTGAAGCCTGCATGAAAATTATCTGCAGATTTTTGCCAGGGATCTCCACGGGGAATCTGCAAGATTTTGCAGTGGTGTCTGGGATACCAGTTGTTGGGATGTCAAACCTTTTGTGCACCCCCTAGTAATTTATAAAAGGCTTATTTGTGGGGGCAGGTATTGCTTGCTAACCAATTCCAAATCTACCTTCCCTGCATTTGGAGGTCTTGGGATTTCTTGGCTTGCTTTGGGGGATTTAACAGATAAATGAAAGGCAAATTGCTGTCTTTTGTCCTCTAATTTCTGACTTTTTGTCCTGGCCTTTATCTTCCTAAAGTTTGCAGGTATCTAATTCCCTTTCACAAATATTAGCAATGGCTGCAGATCTTGCTGTTGTTGCAATGGAGGGATTTCCAGAATAGACCATGCTTTCAATAGTATGCCATTGTTTTCCTTTCCTTGCTAACATTTTATGCTGAGTTTGCCTGTATGCTAATGTTGAACTAATAGGCTCCTCAGTAGTTTGAGAAGTAACTTGTTTCAATTGATATTTGAATGAGATGTTTTGAAGGAACATCTTTGAAGACCAGGTGTAGGATTTCAGCTCCCAGAAGACCTGACCACCATGGCCAATAACCAGGAATTCTAGGGCCGGCTGGGGGGGGGGGGGGATAAGAGGTTGAGAACCATTGCTGTAGAACAGCATTCTCCAACCTGATGGGTGCTGGTAAAAACTAAATCAGGGACAAGGGGCATATGCCTCTCCAGATATTGTTGGACTGTAACTCAGATGGACCCTAACAAAAATAGGCAATAATTGAAGAATGATAGGAGCTGTAGACCAGAAACATTTGAAGGACCACATGGTCCCCATCCTTCGATTCAATTTGTTTTTCACGAGCCTTCATAGGCAGGAGCCAACTATGTCAGGAGCACATGGGAGAAGGAGGATGCTAAGTAAGCAGAGTTTGATGATATCTAAAAAGCAAACTCACTCACTTCTCTACGTGTGGGTGCGTGCATGCCCTTCTCCCTTCTGTTGCGGATATGGTCGCTATCATGTTTATGGGGGGACACTTCTGGTTTGCAGGCTCCACACATTTGTGCATTTATTTCTTCTGTCCCTCCATCCCCCCCAAAAAAAAGCAGAAAGGGGGAAAAAGTGGTTGGGCTAATGCCCCAGTTGACACTTATTTGGGGTATGGATGGCAGGGTATCTCCTGAGCATGACTTTATTTAAGAGCAGGAATGTGTGCCTCTTGTTTCAATGCATGAAAAGCATCTGGTCTGAATTGGACCAGCTAGGTATCTGTCTAGGTGGGTGGGACTTTGTCTCCTTATCATCTCTAGCCAGCATAGCCAGTCACCATATTGAGTCATGGATGATAGGAGGCATATTCCAATGTATCTAGAATGCTATAGATTCTCCCCTCAGCCAGACAGTGAGGGATGTAAAAGAATATATTCGCGAAGGTTTTCACGGCCGGGGTCTAATGGTTGTTGTGGGTTTTTCAGGCTCTTTGGCCGTGTTCTGAAGGTTGTTCTTCCTAACATTTCACCAGTCTCTGTGGCCGGCATCTTCAGAGGACAGCACTCTGTGCTCTCTTCAGAGTGCTGTCCTCTGAAGATGCCAGCCACAGAGACTGGCGAAACGTTAGGAAGAACAACCTTCAGAACATGGCCAAAGAGCCCGAAAAACCCAGAACAACGATGTAAAAGAATTTTCTTGGACTTGGAAGGTGACTGTCAACAGTAGCTAGACGAAGAGCTATCCAGGGTGGAGAACTAGTTAGGGCTGGTATGAGACAGATTCTTAAGTTTCTCTCAGCTAGGATCAAATTGGGCAACTTACTTTTTGGATAACAATTCTCAGAATCCCTTGAGCAGCATGGTTGGTGGCTATGCTGGCTGAGGGATTCTGGGAGTTGTAGTCCAGCAGAATACCTTTTGCAAGTTCTGGCTGTAGTGCTTTGCAGACTATGAACTGCACTGCAGAAAGCAACCTTAACTTTGGGCAGTGTATGCTTATGACCACATTTTCTTTTGCCTCTGCATTCCAGAATGTTGTTCATAAAATGCCCCCCCCCCCCGTTATGCTCCTATCATTCTAGTAAAAGTAAACAGATACAGAAGGCAAGTCCAGATTCCTGTCTCTGCAGGAACCAGGCCTAGTGTTTTACCAAGTATAGAATAATTGCACATGCCTCCCATCCCACCCTGCCCCAATATGTGTGATCTCGCTACTGTGTTAATTAAAGCCCTGAACTTTCTAGATCTTACACAAACACCAGATAGCGTTGAGGCTAACATGTAACAGTAATGATGTTTCGAAAGAGATCTGCACTGATCTTGAAGGCTCCAGTGTATTCTCCACTCCACCCCCCCCCCATCTTTTAATGGTGAGATTAGTTTACTGGAAGGTTTTTTATTTAAATGACAATTTGCAGACATCCTCCTGCATTAGCCAATTTGGCATGTCTTCTCTCATAATGCCTCCTAGGCTTCAGTAGAAGAAACACCCTTCCGAATATGTGTGAAATAGCACAGCCATATCCTGAGGGAGAAGATTTTCTTTACATTGCACCCACCTGACCAGAAGTGGTGGGAGGCATGTGGCCACTCAAATGTTGTGGGTCTGGAGCTCACATCATCCCTCATCATTGGCAT